TTTTTTTTTTTTTTTTTTTTTTCAAAGGCTGATTCTTTAAAAGCCCAACCCAGACGCTCATAAGGTTGAGATCCAACTGGCAAAGAAGATTGGAACAAGCGTCTGAATCTGGACGTGTTTGTGGAGCGGTGCAAAAGATTGTGATTAAACTGCTTTTCTGCATCTCTGTGTGGAACACGTCCAGATTCAGACACTATTCCAATCCTCTTTGCCTGTGGGATCTGGCCTTAACTCGACCTAAAGGCTTCCACGAGCCGACTTCTGTTTTTCCTTTTCTTTCGGCCGGCTTTTCTCGGGTTTCTTATCAGCTACGGGCTCTCCCCCTTCGCGGCCTTTTGAATATCGACAAACATACAATGGGAAAAGTTGAGTAGCACAAAAAAAAAAAAAAAAAAAGTTGAGTAGCGAGAGGATGAGATAGATGATGAAAATATATACAAAGAAGAGTGAAGGCTACAACAGAGATAGGTGTTAAGGAGGTTAAGGAGATTAAGGGTGCTCAGGAGGTCAGATAGGACAGGGCTCCTGGCGTAAATGTAAGACAGTGTTTCTGAGTCGGGACTCGGGGTAGTAGGCAGCGGCAGCGTGACGTTTCGGTTCGGGTATATACTTATGTGTCAGTTACTGGGGAAGTCTGCGTGTGGGAGTTTATGGGCAGGGCTTGGGAGGGTCTAGAAAGTTCGGGGGAAGTCTGCACGTGGGAGTTTATGGGACCTGGCTTCTCGGTCCCTGGTTAGGTCCACGGGAGGACCGATGCTTACCTGTTGTAGGGAGCAAGGAGGAGACAGCGTAGAAGCTGAGTCGTCGTAGACTCGGGGGGTCGCTTAAACCCTGTGTTTGGGTTCGAAGAAGTAGGATTAGGCTATCTTATAGATGGGATGGGAATGTTAGGCTATCTTAGGTGGGATGGGGCTATTAGGCTATCTTAGATGGGATGGGAATGTTAGGCTATCTTAGATGGGATGGGGCTATTAGGCTACCTTAGATGGGATGGGGCTATTAGGCTATCTTAGATAGGACAGGGCTATTAGGCTATCTTAGATAGGATGGGGCTATTAGGCTTATCTTAGATGGGATGGGGCTATTAGGCTATCTTAGATGGGATGGGGCTATATCTTAGATGGGATGGGGCTATGTAGGTAGGAATATTGAGTACTTTCCTCTGCTCTCTTCCTCTTTTGCTTTGCCTTCCTTTGTCAGTTTCTTGTTTTTATATCTTTGAATCACTCCCCTTCTCCCTTCCCCATCTGTCTCTTTCCCCCGCCGTCTTCTATTGGCAGGAAAAAAAGTAACAGTGGCTCCTCCTTAGGCCAACTACATTTTTCTAGTAGTTCCTTGTCTCTTTTTCATGAATTTTCTGTTGAAGTTGTCTGAGCGTACTCGTTATGGGACGCTGGGCCCGGTTCCCAGTTTGTGCCGATTTGTGAGGATATGGTTGTATCTATGGGACGCTGGACCCGGTTTCCAGCAGGTGCTGCTCCCCACCAATAGATGGAGCTTTTTTCTAAAAAAAAAAAAAAAAAAAAAAAANAAAGGTGGCTCCTCCTATCGGGTCCATGTTGAGTCCCATAAAAAGCGAAACTGGGTAATGCTCCCAGTAATGGCCTTTTGTGGGAAGTGGCCGCCCCCCCGTCTCGTAGTAATGGCCTTTTGTGGGGTAAAGCTTCTTTCAACGAGTAATGAATTTGTTCCTCCAAAAAGAAAAAGAAAAAAAGAAGAAGACGAAGAAGAAGAAGAAGAAGAAGAAGAAGAAGATGAAGAAGAAGAAGAGTGAGAGAAGAATATAGATTAGTTTTTCTTAGAAAGAAAGGGGAAAAAAAGTCGAATTGTTGATGCGCGTATTCAGCGAGCAGATCGCGTCATCCGACAACGCACAGAGCAGTCGCCAGATGTGTCACCCTTCCACATGCATCAGATTTCCCGAATGGTGTTTTCGCCATTTCCCAACGTCTTGCCCTTCACGTCCAGTCCGGTATTCCCCTGAACGCATCGCACGCTGATCATGAATGTATACAACCTGTGTTTTCGATTTCATACAGTCATGGTGAGTGCCCATTATCTCTGGTACAAGACAGTACGCACATCAACCCTCTGGATGCTTCGCTGCACCACAGCAGGCCAAATGGCCTTTTCCACCTTTCTCCTCGCTTTTCCCACTCTTTTCCTGCTTCCTTTCCCGCCTCCTTTCTCCTTGCTTTTCCCGCTCTTTTCGCACCTGGATGCTTCGCTGCACCACATCCGGCGAAGTGGCCTTTTCCACCTTTTCCACCTTTCTCCTCACTTTTCCCGCCTGGATGCCTCATTGCACCACAGCAGCTGAAGTGGCCTTTCCCACCTTTTCCACCTTTCTCCTCGCTTTGCCCCCTCTTTTCCAGCCTCTCTTTTCCTGCCTCCTTTCTCCTCGCTTTTCCCGCTCTTTTCCTGCTCTTTTCCCCCGTCTCCTTTCTGCTCGCTTTTCCCATGCTTTTCCCGCGACTACGAATGGCAGATCCTACTTAGCCTATCTAGAATGCCGCTGGTGACGTCAACAGCTCCCCGATGTACGAGCAGATCTTGGCCAGCGCCGTTCGTCTCAAGCACCAGGTATGTCTCACGCATCACTCACAACCTCGATCCCCCACACAGATGCCACGTGCACCCAAGGGCCACCATGCGCCCCATCCAGCATCTCGCAGGCCAGCTCGGCTATGGCTGCCTGTGTGTGCCCTGCTCGCCCGTGAGCGCGTGGGCGCTAGCCTGCCGATAGCGCAGCAGCGCTTGCGCAGCAAGTAGCAAGTGCCCGAATGTCTCATGCGGAGGCAGGCAATTTCTTTTATCGAAGTGGCCTGCCTGCTGCGTACTGCCTGGCTGCGCTGGGCCCCTGCCCAGAAGCTTCCGGTAGGCCCCAAGTGGCTGAGACCCCGACCCAGGGAATCACACACAAGGCCTGGGGTGGTTACCCGTGTCCAACTGCCAGCGGCCTGTGTTCAGTCCATGCACCGTGTCCGGCCCAGGGCCCGCCTCAGATTCATTTGGAAAAAGGCAGGCAGGGCCTGGGCTCACTCAACCAACTGGCGCCGCGCAACTGCCTGAATTTCCCAGCTGCGTTCAACCCAGCAAAAGTAGGCCTCTCGTGCCTTGTCCGGCCCGCCTTCACTTAGGGCGGCCGTTCGGGCTGAAACAGGGCCCAGTAGGGCTTACCGAGTCCTTGAGCCTTGCATTCCCTCCTCCATACTTCGAGAGTCCTCTGAGAAGTTCAATCATTCAATCTGGCGCTTTCCTTTCTGCAGCAACTTCTCATACTGAGCGACAACCTGTGGAGCGGTCTGCATCAGTTCCTCCCATGTAAACCATCTGTCCTCCTTTGCATCAATGTGACGTCTGAACTGAATGCGACACTGCAGCTTTGGCTTAGGAGGCAGCCCCTGCCTGTTGGTTTTGGAACCGGCATTTCTCTGTGATCCACGATGTTGTCGATGTCGACCTCTCCCCATCCATGGTTGGGGGCAGCATTGAGCGACGAGAGGGAAACTGATCAGTTTCCTCGAAAGGTGCGAGCTTGGAGGCGTGAAAGACAGGGTAGGTGTGAAGGTGACCAGGGATCCGAATTACATACGATGGCCCGTCCGGATCATTCTCGACAACATCTAGAACCTCCCATGGCCCGAAGTACTGTGGCATGAGCTTTCGGGAGATCCCATGCTCCTGCCCCAGCTCAGAGGCTTTGACCCAGACTCTGTCCCCTACCTGGAATGTAGATGGGCGGCGGAGCTTGTTCTCAGATTCTATCATTGCCGCCTGTGCTCTATGCATCTGTTCCACAGCTTGCTGCATCAGGCGTTCATATCGATAGGCGAATTCTAAGGTGCCTGGTGCAGCAGCCGGCTGGTTCTCAGGTAGTAGAAAGTCTAGGGGCAGTCTAGGCTTAAAGGTCAGTAGCAGACTGTTAGGGCTCACCCCTGTTGTGTACAGACCGGTGATGGGACCAAGTTTCTCATCCCAGTCCACCTGGTTAGGCTTGATATAGTGCCTCAGCAAGTGTTGTACAACACGGTTCAGCTGCTCTGTTTGCCCGTTTGCCTCTGGGTGGTTCCCCGAGGTCATCTGCAGTTGTGTCCCCTGTTCTGCAGTTGCCGCTTTCCACAATTCACTCGTGAATCGCACATCCCAGTCACTAACTATAGACTTTGGCAATCCAAAATCCCTGACCCAGTGTTCTTTGAACAGCTTAATTACGTACTCGGTCTTGGCTGCCTCGGGCATTGCGACTAACCTAGCATACTTACAAACCTATCCACAATGACAAAGACATATCGCATACCGCTCTTGCTGGTGACTAGCGTGTGCATGAAATCCATGGACAGGCTCTCACCGGGCCTTTCTGAAATCGGAAGGGGCTCGAGGAGCCCAACAGGGGCCTGTGTACGGGGCTTATCTCTCTGGCACACCTGACAAGTCTCCAGGTACAGCTTCGCATCTTTCATCATTGTGGGCCACCAGAACTGCTGCAGCAAGTTTGCTGCAGTCTTCTTATAACCAAAATGTCATGTGCCAACATGATATTCACCTAAAAATAAACTACGCAAAGACTCCCGGTTAGGCACACACAAATGTTCACAGCAGGCCATCGACCAACACAAACTCGCCAGAAGTCACTTTATCCTATGCCGTCAGCCTGTGTATGATTTCAGCCATAAACGGATCCTCGCGATAGGCTTCCACCAAGGATCAAGTAACATCGTCCGCAAGCTCAAACTCAGTGATCAGCGCACCAAGGAAGTCTGGCCTATCAAGTAACATCGTCCGCAAGCTCAAACTCAGTGATCAGCGCACCAAGGAAGTCTGGCCTACACAACAACGCATCAGCAACCTTGTTGTACTCTCCTTTGATGTACTGGGGTTCGAAGTCATATTGGTCTATGACTTCAATCCAACGTTTCAGCGCATCGAAGAGTACTGCCTGGGTTCTAATCCACTTCAGGGTCTGATGATCAGTCCTGACGTAGAAGAACCTCCCAAGTAGACAGTGCCTCCAGTGGGTTAGCGCTTTGTAGATCGCATAGAGCTCCTTCTCATAGGTTGACTTAGCCAATATCTCCTGCTGCGCAAGCACGACACCAATGCCATATTGGCTGGCATCCGTGGTTACTACAAATGGCTTGTCAGGATCAGGAAGTTTCAAGACCTCATGGTGTGTTAAGGAGTGCTTCGGATGTCTGAAAGCAGCCTCACACTTGTCTATCCACTCCCACGGGGTGTCAAGGCGGGTAAGGTCCGTCAAAGCTGCAGCCACTATGCTATAGTTCTTTACAAAATTGCGGTAGTAGCCGGTCATCCCTAAGAAGGACCTCATCTCAGCCACAGACTGAGGACGCGGCCAGTAACGAATGCTGGCCACCTTCGCGTCAACGGGCTTCAATCCCTCCGCGGAAATCGCATGACCCAGATACAAGATCCGGGTGCGGCTAAACTCACACTTCTCCCGCTTAATCTTGAACTGGTGTTGCTGAAGGAGACTAAGGACTTTGTCTAGATGGGCTACATGCTCCTCGACAGTTCTACTAAAGATAAGTATGTCATCGAGGTACACGATGAGAAACTTGTCCAAGTAATCCTGAAAAATCCGGTTCATAGCATGTTGAAAGGTGCCAGAAAAGGCATCACCACAAACTCGTACAGACCGTACCTGGTATGAAATGCGATTTTGTGTTGATCCACGGGCCGGATTGCAATCTAATAACCCGGACTTCAGATCTATCTTACTGAAGTACTGGCTCCCTTGCACTCGATCCAATAAGTCATTGATGCGCGGTAGGGGCTCTGCGTTTTTTACAGTGATGGCATTGAGGCCCGTATAATCAATGCACATCCTCAAAGGTTCCCCCCTTCTTCGGTACGAATAGGACAGGGGAAACACTAGGCCGGATCCAACCCTTCTCTATGAGTTCCTTGAGTTGCCGACAAAGCTCATCGAGTTCCATTGGAGACATCCGATAGATCCTACCCTTCAAAATACTAGACCCTGGGATAGTCTCTACCGCATGGAGGACCTCCTTCTCAACAACCCCTTTTGGCTCTTCAAATAAATCAGGGTACTTAGCGACCACTACCTCTATCTCTGAAGGCATTTCCACCAGCTCGCCCTCTATAGAGACATAAACTAAGTACATACCCTCCTCCGGATTTTGCTTATAGTAATTATAGAACGCGGCCACACATGCATCCGTAGGACTCAATCAGACTACTAGCTTTATACTTACGTAATTTGGCGGTCCTCCGTCCGGGCAAAGTGTGCTTGACCACTTTTCGGTCTCAATCAAACTGGGCTATGCAACCGAAAAATAGTACATAGTTAGCAAGATATCCATAGGGAGATCATCGCTAACTAGGAACGAGACTCTCTCACCCTCCGCAAAAACATAAACTAAGTACATACCCTCCAAATTTTGCTTATAGTAATTATAGAACGCGGCAACACACATGCATCCGTAGGACTCAATCAGACTACTAGCTTTATACTTACGTAATTTGGCGATCCTCCCTCCGGCCAAAGTGTGCTTGACCACTTTTCGATCCCAATCAAACTCGGGCTATGCAACCGAAAGATAGTATATAGCTAGCAAGATACCCGATAGGGAGATCATCGCTGACTAGGAACGAGACTCGATGTCTCGGTTCCCCTCCCTCGTACGGGAAACAACATTCAACGTCTTTAAGGTAGTTAGTGACTACCATGCGCTGTTTGTTGGCACAGGTCGACTCCACCGGTCGACTCAGGCGCTCCACTTGCCCCTGTAAGCGCAGTCGTTCAACGCACGCTCGACTGATAAAGTTCCTCGTCGAGGAAGTATCATAGTGGGCCCTGGCCTTGCAGCCGCCTATATCTACCTCGCCAACGAACAACTCACCCTTAGGAGCTTTTGCCATGGTCGTCCAAAAAGCTAGCGGGTCTGATCTAGACCACTCCTCTAGCTCCTCTAAGGACTCGAACACATTCATCGAACAGAGGATCGATCGGTCCGAATGTGTTTGTGGGACGACAACGGAGTCAATAGCTTGGGCCAGCTCTCGAGATGGTGAGGGTGTGTCCACCACCTCGACCCTAGCAGGAACAGCTACAATTCCTACTAGCCCGACGTGTTTTCCGAAGCAGTGCCAGAACTACTAGCTACATTGCTACCTTGGAAGCAGAGGAGACCGACGCCTGCCCCATCGTAGGCGGGATCTTTTCCGCCACTTGCTTGTTGCGGCACTTGAATTGATTATGGCCATATTGGCCATAACGAATACAAGCTGACTAGGAGTAACAATCTCTCCACACGTCCTCAGTAAGGCCCGCTTTCTCCCATGGAGGAGCATTGGGGTTCACTTGACTCCTAGACCGGGAACCTCCACGGTATCTACCAGTCGCCTTACCTTTCTGCACAAAGGCAGCGATCGCTCCACCCCCTTCTCCGCTGCCCCACTCTGACCGTACTCCCTCCTAGATGTCGTCGTCTAACTCTATAGTAAGACCATCGTTATCGACGAACATAATACGCCCCTTGGCCAGTTAGGAGGCAATGCCTTCTTCCTACCGTCCATAGTGGGTTCGTGCCCATGCTCGATCTTTGCCTCTAGATCTAGGGCCTTCTTTCTAAATGAAGGGACATTGTGGACTGTGATTATGGCCTCACCTACCAATTGATTCTTGAGCTCTATGGGAAGACGTCTCATGTAAGTGGTAAGTAAGACCTGGGGGTCATAACGCACTCCAGGTACACAAATCAGAAGTTCAACAACGTCTTTGGCATCCCTTACTGACCTGAACTTTCTTGAGCTCAGGGTCAGGGTGGCATCAGTGGCCTTTTGAGTCTCCTATGGATCATGCCACCTTTCCTCAACCAGCTTGAGGAAATTATCCAATTTTTGGGTGGCTGCCCAAGTGCAGAAGTCATGACGTATCCCTGGAGTTGTACATACCCATTTAACCACCTTGTTGCACTCCCCTCCAGATAGGAGGCAGCCATAAGCACTTCCTCGTGAGGCAAGGTCAACTTGCACTTCGCATAGATTGGCACTGACCTCAACCATGTGTCGAGGTCCTCACCCCTCGCATCCCCTGAGAAGGGTTTAGGTGATGCAATGGAAGTCTTGGGAACCCACTCTCCTTGTCCCGGTGTCTGCACTACTCCAAGTTGTGGACCCTGGGGTGCAGGTTGCTGCACGAGCTGTTGTTGGGGCTGTGTACCTTGTGGTTGTGTTGGCTACAGCAGTCTGCAACGGAGGTTGAGAGAACAATGTATGTACAGGAACCTTTTTTGTTGTTAACCAGCCCATCAAAGGCATACCCAGTAGGGAAGCGACCTACACCGAAGCTGGAGAGATTGCAAATGGGGCTACTCCAATCACCGATGGGACAAAAGGAGGAGGTTGTACCACGGGCCCGGCACCAGGCCCTGATGGTGATGGTGCGGCCTGAACTCGCCCGACCAGCACGGCCAGGCTCCGCTGGATGTCCTGCAAGAGTGACATGTGGTAATCCTGCATCTCCACTACATCTAACAGGGCGGTCCTCACGGTCCTCACATCGTCATCCATATTAGTCAGCTCCATCTCCTCTAACTCTCTAATGTCCGCTTGTCTCCGCTGCATCCTAGACCTTCTTCTAATCATCCTTTCCTTATCTGCATATATCTTATCTGACGCCTTCTGTAGTTGTGCCTCTTGAGCACTTGCTCTCTGTATGGTGACCTCCTCGGGAGTTAACACTAACTGGTGGCTTGCCATAACGCCAGCGGACTGACTCAGGGTATGTGTGACCGTCGCCCCAACAGTTCATGAACTACTGGCCTGGGAACTTTGCTGCGCAGCGGTTGCCATGGCTGCTGAAGTAGCTGCCTCACTTGCGAAGGCTCTGCTTGCCTCTGCGTCCCTAGCCCTCCGCTGCTGCTGCTGCCTTTCCCTAAGCTGGCGGAACAGAAACCGGCCACCCTCTAGTCCTAACGCTAAGTGGACCAATGGGCATCTTGATGATCACAGGATCCGATTGTCCGAGTCAGGGTTCTCCCTATCGCTCGTTCCCCCTGTCGCTCATAAGCTACATAATTGTGTAGTATCTGCACTAGGACACTCTCGGTTGTCTACCGCAGCGTAATGCTCGGACCGATTTAAAATAAATAAAAATAATTAATCGGTGGCAATGTCAGAGTGTACACAGTTGGGTCCAATAGGTAAGTCCAGATTCGTACAAACGAAATTATCTTACTTGACTAGTCCGCAAACAGAAAGAGAATGAGCAGAAACAGGTAGTTCTACCTATGTTGTCTGTCATATGTTAATGGTTGTACATCTAACTAATCAAAATAAACATAGAATCATTTGGATGGTTGTTGCCAGAGTGGAATTGTTCCCGAACTTATCACCTGAATTCTACCCCTCCCTCAGTTCTTCTTCATTGTCGCTTGACGTCAACATCCCTGAGCAATCCAGGTGGCGTGTGTGTCTAAAGGTGTGAACACGGCCCACTCCTGTGCCCCGAGTCAACGCTGAGCTGGCCAGCCCTGCACCATATTTACCCTCGCGTGCAGCGAGCCTTACACCGACCGATTGGCTGATCAAGAGGCAGTTTAAGGACGGCCCCAGAAGTCCTCAAGAATTATTTAACATCGCAAACAGGACGACGATTACAGCCAATGGAAGGTAACCCGCCAGTACTTATTTATAGACGGCCGGTGCTCGTCTCCCTTGTAGGGCTGGCCTGCCCCTCATAACCCATCTACAGCGCAGCAGGCAGACAAAGGACAAAGCAGCAAAGCATGCGTGCTCTGCTCCTGGTGGGTTGGCATGGTGACCGTGACCCAGTGCTTCGTCCAGGGCCCTTCAGATAGCTCCGCCCTCTCCTTCCAGAGGCTTCACGTAAACAATGCCGACTCTCAAGGTTGAGTGCACTCGACTCCTCACATGAGAGGACTCTCAAGATAGAACACACATCCTCACGGTAAGAAGTGTCGAAGAGGGCAGATAAGCTTAAGAGCAACATACCTCAAAATAGCTGTGCCCCCAACCACGGATATTTGCACCAGATGACCTGAAGTCGATTGTGATGACCAATCATTGCTTCGGCACAACCAGCATTACACCGCCGTTCCACCTCGGCATCAATCGCACATCAGATAGTTCTCATCACACTGTGAAACACCCAATATCACCTCGTAGCATTCCTGGTGATACCCCTCTCCGCCTGGGTCGCCTGCTTGCCTTCACCCTCCTCACTACATGGTCACTCACCCAGCTGACCGCGTGCATGTACCGCATAGGCAGAAGACAAGCGCCAGATTACCGCAACGTACCACTGCTCTGATACCAAAATGGAAGGAAAATGACCGATAGTGAATTCCAGAAACCAAGCAGAATCATACACATGAAACCAGATAGTCTTGACCTCAAACCAAAAGCAGAATTGCAACTCGAGTTCCACCAAATAAGAGCACAGCAAAAGCTCACAAGTGACAATGTTGGAATAGTCTCATCATCATCAACAATGAACCAATGTCGAAGTCCTATCTGGCGCTCAGCGCCCAGACTACGAATGGCAGATCCTATCTAGCCTATCTACAATGCCGCTGGTAACTTCAACAGCTCGCCGAAGTACGAGCACCAGGTATATCTCACGCACCACTCACAACCTCGATCCCCCACACAGATGCCACGTGCACCCAAGGACCACCACGCGCCCCATCCAGCATCTCGCAGGCCAGCTCGGCTCTGGATGCCTGCGTTTGCCCTGCTCGCCCGTGAGCGCGTGGGCGCTAGCCTGCCGATAGCGCAACAGCGCTTGCGCAGCAATTAACAAGTGCCCGAATGTCTCATGTGGAGGCAGGCACTTTCTTTTATCGAAGTGACCTGCCTGCTGCGTGCTGCCTGGCTGCGCTGGGCCCCTGCCCAGAAGCTTCCGGTAGGCCCCAAGTGGCTGAGACCCCGACCCAGGGAATCACACGCAGGCCTGGGGTGGTTACCCATGTCCAACTGCCAGCGGCCTGTGTTCAGTCCATGCCCCGTGTCTGGCCCAGGGCCTGCCTCAGATTCATTCGGAAAAAGGCAAGCAGGGCCTGGGCTCACTCAACCAACTGGCGCTGCGCAACCACCTGAATTTCCCAGCTGCATTCAACCCAATAAAAGTAGGCCTCTCGTGCCTTGTCAGGCCCGCCTTCACTTAGGGCGGCCGTTCGGGCTGAAACAGGGCCCAGTAGGGCTTACCGAGGCCTTGAGCCTCGCACATGCCTCGCAAGACGACATAGAGACTGCTACTGGAGCCTTCACAAAGGTTCTATATACCTATCCTACCATCTTACCCTCTCTCTTCTTAACAGTTACCTTCCTCCTCCTCCTTTGTCCTGCCTCGAAGAGAAATTTGCAATTTATTCACTACAGAGAGAACTGACCCTAACAAACAACAAGCAAGGGAAGTCCCATTTTTCGCAATTTTTTTTTTTTTTTTTTTTGCAATTTTAAAGGCTAGTTCTTTTAACCCCAACCAAATCAACTACCTGTCAACTCTGGACAGGAGGGCGTTTCAGGCCTTTTGGAAATTCTCGGTTCATGGCCACAGCAGATTCAATCAATAGTAATTCTACATTCGCAAGCAAAGAACATAACAAACTCTGTCCTCAGCCCAGGGACAAGGATTCTTTATAAAAAAAAAATAATAATAATAAAAAATCCAAACACGAAAAATCTTTCCAACAGCAATGAACTAGCGTCTTCACCCAAATAGAACGGCCAGCCAGTATTTGGGGCAAATTTCAGTCTAGATACGGCGATAATGACCGCGCATTTTATTGAAGGGAAGATGGGAGCACACATGCATGCTCGCACACACGTGGTCATCCCAAAGTCTCGTACAATTTCACACAGAACGCCCATTCAGTATTCTCTCTTATTGTAACAAAAAAAATGTTTCCCTCCTTCCGCATAGGACCTCCAGTTTCAAAGATGTTAAAAAAAAAAAAAAAAAAAGCAAAAAAAACAATGATCGTGTACAGATCGTACAAGACACAGCTTGTTTTTCGTAAGCAGCTTGTCCCCGGAAAACTAGGGAAAAAAAAAAGAATAACATACAATCGAATGACATTATGATATAGCAAAAAAGACAAAAAAAAAAAAAAAAGGTTCCACCGCTGGAAACAGACTCTCTTCTGTATAACCTGGCCACGCGGCCCAATTCCCCAAAAAACGACTCACTATAACTTGTCCGATGGTATCAAAAAAAAAAAAAAAAAAAAAAAAAAAACACGCACATTAAGGTTGAATTACTCAGACTGCTCAAACACTGACAAACAGCAAGCAACCCGAAGGCCGAGTGAAGCCAACCNNNNCCCCAACCAACCAAAAAAAAAAAAGAAAAAAAAAAAAAAGAAGAAGATGAAGAAGAAGAGAAGAAAAATCTGTAAGGAGATTATTATCATCCTCAGTCCTAATAAACTTCTAGTGAAGTTGAAACTTACGACTACGCGAGTTTTTGAAACTTAACCTTTTAACCTCTCCAAATTTCAGTTCTACCCTCCTCTACTGCCTACTACCTACTTATGCCCCTGGTTTATTATCCTCTTCTCTCTGTCTGCCTACAGTTTACCAGGCAAGTCTGTTTGACAATATATATATAATATAATATTATATATCGTATATATATAGTCAAAATATATATACAGTACAGTCAGGAATGGCACACCCACATGGGTCACATCATCATGTTGGGTTATTATTCCAGTGCCTCGAAAAAAAAAAAAAAAAAAAAAAAATCCTCTGACCAGACAATTGGATGGATATGAGAAAAGGCCTAAGAGACGACCATCCACCTCCTCTGTCATTTTACTATTTTAGAGCCACCTGTGAACTCGGACTTTCCGAAAGTCACCTGGCTATTATTGCAGTCAGATTCATCCACTGAAGCGCTAATGCAATGACGAGTTTGATTGCTCTCAGTCAAGTTGTCCATCTATCAATCCAAAAACACTTTTTTTTTTTTTTTTCCAGGGAGCAACAAAACGTGGGCGGCCAGATGGATGCCAAGTAGCAAGCCACTATGTCCTCGAACCAAATCCAAGTGACATCCTCGAATCTGATCCAAATGCAAATCCAAATCCATTGAATCCGACCCAAATCCAAGTCAAAATCGGAACTGCCTTGAGGTGAGGAGAAGTTTCTTAGAACATGCAGTCAACCAATCAACATGTCCGAATGTCTCTCTCTCTCTCTCTCTCTCTCTCTCTCTCTCTCTCTCTCTCTCTCTCTCTCTTCAAATGACAAAATAACCAGCAAAAAAACTTCAAACAAAGCTAACAAACTATTAATCACAAGAATGAAAATGGACACTTGGGGTTCCTAGAAAATAGCATGGGCTACGTACCTGTGCCCTACCAGTGTAGAGGTGCATACCCTGCCGACTGCAAAACGCGCGAGCAACGAAGATAGATGATACAGGCACCCTGCCGGTTGTGAAAGCCACAAGCGACGAAGACATACGATACAGGTAGAAGAGTCATTCCAGGTGGAGATCAGTGTACAGCCCGCCTTGTCAAACAGAGAGCAGAGAGGGGACAAAACGTCACAAAAAATTGGTATTCTTGGTTGAAGCTGCGCCTTGTTTGGAAGAGGGGGGTGGGGCATCCAGTCCATTCCGATCGCTCCCAAGCCATCCCTTCCAATCGCTCCAATTGCCTCCCACCTTTACAGAACTACTATGAATAGAACGCCGGCACTTAAAAAAAAAAGAAATGTCGGCACCGCCGCTGGTGCTCCCGAGATGAATAATGACGTATGGATGACGAGGCCATGAACAGAAAGACAATGACTTGGGCCGCACGACGGTGTGGTTTCCGTTCACACATGCATACCTTTACTTCGCTGCGGTCTGCACCTTGCATACGAGGAATGCGGACCTCTTTGATTAGTAAAAGTCGCCACCTTCCTTTTCCTTCTTCTCTATCTCTATACTATTAAAAACTGCAAAGGGCCCGACATGACGCTTCCCAGCCGGCCCAGGGAAATTTGGTGCCGCGCCGGCGGCGCCGCACTTGTTGTTGCTCAAAAGGGAAGAGTCCACTGGCGAAATCGGCAAACCCCTGCCGGGTTCCAAGCAGAGACTTGACTCACACAAAATAGCAGACAACGCGGGCAAAGTTCACAATATACCCTCGATGCGACAAAGCTATGTGAATGCATATCCTCCTCCGTCAATCACTCGACTACGCAACAAGTCTGATCAGCATGTGAATCGGTGTGATGATGTCCTTGCACTATGCCACACACATTAAGATGCACAGCTCCTCCTCCTACTACTACTACTACTACTGCTACTACTACTCCGCCTGCAGCCCATTGGCTGGGTGATTGGCGGTGCAAGACCTCTCTCATCAATGATAACAGAGGGGTATGATGTGCACACGTTATTCCACCATAGTATACAATTACAACCGGGTAGAATGACCCATCGTCCACCCGTCCGCGAAGTCTCTGCGAGTTGCTGAAGGTGCAACCGACCCCACGCCGTGCCCCCGACCATCAGCTGCAGCGGGGTGAGCAGCTCCCTTCGGCGCAACCCACCCCACCCCATGCCGTGTCGCCCGACCATCGGCTTCAGCGGGCTGAATAGCACCTCCACCGCCGCCGCCACCGCCTTCTCCTCCCGCATTGGCTGGCTATTGGCGACGCAAGACCTCTTGCATCAAAATGGTTACAGAACAACATGATGCACATGCACTATGCCACCACAATATACATTTGCAATGGGGTAGAGTGACCCATCGTCCACCCCTCAACGGATTTTCTGCAAATCGTTGAAACAGCGCCCCCCTTCGACGCAACCCACCCCCACCCCATGCCCCCAACCGTCTGCATACTGGCCATTACGGGTACTCAACCCCGCCCCCCGCCCCTCCCCACCCTTCTAAACTTGATAAAACATGCCTTGGAGGAAGAAGGATAATCAAACTTCACCACAGGATCACACAATTGCAATACTATATTGCTACTGCAATCTTTCAAATAGCAATATTTTCAGATAGAACCCTGTACCAAAGCCTTGTGGCGGACAGGTACAGACATCACACCTGATGATAAACTGATCGCCGGTTCAATCCTGTGCAATGCAATAACACAGGGTGCATGCCCCCTTTTAAAAAGAAGGGGATAGATAGATAGATAGATAGATAGATAGATAGATAGATAGATAGATAGATAGATGGATAGAATCCTGACAAGTCCATATTTCAGATAGAACCGTGTACCCCACAGCCTCATGGCTGAGAGGTACACACCTCCCACCTATTGATAAACAGATCACTGGTTCAAATCCTGTGCGATTCAATAGCATGCTAGGGACATTTCCCCTTTTCAAAAGAAGGGGATAGATAGATAGATAGATAGAATCATAGAACCCTGTCAAGTACATAATACCCCCACCTAGGGGGTACGCGTGCATGCATGGGGGCACCAACTTGCCGCATTCAATCCGGCAGCAACAAAAGTCGTCAGCCGCATGCGCACATGCTGTGGACGTGAGCAGCAGCAACCCATCAGTACGCGTGCATGCACGCGGGGCACCAAATTGCTGCGCTCAATTTGGCAGCAACAAAAGTGGTCGACCGCATGCGGACGTGAGCAGCAGGAACCCATAGGTACGCGTGCATGCATGCGGGGCACCAACTTGCCGCGCTCAATTGGACAGCAACAAAAGTGGTCGGCCGCATGCGCACATGCTGTGGACGTGAGCGGCAGCAACCCATCGGTACACGTGCATGCAGGGGGGGCGCCAACTTGCCGCGCTCAATCCGGCAGCAACAAAAGTGGTCGGCCGCATGCACACATGCTGTGGACGTGAGCGGCAGCAACCCATCGGGCAGCGGCTTTTGCGCAACGCCAGCACATGCTTCCGGAGGATCGATTGGATTGTTTATTATCGACTTGTCATGAATAGGACAGCATACCGAACATAGATTCATGACAGCATACCGAACATGGATGCTTGGTCGGATGGTTGTCATCATTCATGATGGCCATTCAACTGTGGGACCACCACAGCAGACAAAGAGATGCAGGGTTGCAACTTTGAGAGCTGCAAGGAGTGAAAAGAGAGACGCACTACTCTGTCCATCGCACGCAACTGCAGACGGCTTGCAGATGGTTTGCAGAATGGTGATGCATGGTTAGGAAAAAGAAGTACATGGCATTGCATGCATGCTGCTGCTGCTCTCACTGCTTGGTGGGAGAAAAAAAGTCCTGCGCTTCTTTCTATATGATACATGAAACGTACATGTCCATTACATGGGGCATTGCATGCACGCATGCATGCTGCTGCTCTCACTGCTTGGTGGGAGAAACAGCCCTGCGCTTCTTTCTATATGATACATGATTCCTCCCATCTCTCTCTCACTGCCTGGTGGAGGACACATTCCTCCCTTCCTAAATGATAGTTCCTGCAAAATTGCAAATCCACCACCCTCCCGAAGAACCCCCCCCCGTCATTGCCACGCAGACGCGCTCGCGCCCCAACTGAGCACAGCCACTGCACATGAAGTTCGCAGAAACAATGCGGGTGAATAGTTGGTTAGGAGAGCTGCATTTCCGCAGCCCCTCCACTTGCGCGCGCGCGCGCGTGTGCGGGATATGGAGAGAAGGAGAAACTCTGTGCATCATCAACAAACCATAGATGCCTTGCGGAACGCTCGTGAATGGCACATTAGGCCAACTGCATTTTCTTCATGGCAGAGTAATTTTCCTCCTCCACTACTCGAGCGCGCGTACGGGAGATAGTGAAGGAGACACCGTGCACATCGTCAAACCATAAATGCCATGCAGAATGGTTGCGACTGGCATACATTAGGACAGCTGCATCTCTCTCTTTATGGCACAGTGATTCCTCCTCCTCTGTCACTTCATGGTGGCGGAAGAAGATTCATGCACATGC